CTTGAATAATTTCAGTTACTTTCACACCAAATTCATCATTCTTGTCTTCATTTCAGTGACCGCTTAAAAAGTTGAAATGAGACTTTCACAGCTTCTCTTAGTGAAGTAGCTTTTTACACCATTTTGTTGAATATTAAATAACTGTGGACGTCCACATTAGTGTATTTGACTCATTTGTCTGTTCATGCATCATTACTTTTTTCCATTGTATTATTGAAAGGAGTTTGGATTAATATAGTATGTTTTGCTATCATTTTGTCATTTTCTTATCAGTATATTTACAAATGACAAAATGATAGCAAAACATGCTATATTAATCCAAACTCCTTCGAATAATACAACGGAAAAAAGTAATTATGCATGAACAGACAAATGAGTCAAATACACTAATTAACTCATCATAAATTAACAATCAGAGCCTTAAAAAAGGATTAGCTTTTGTCTGCTTACTGATCAGGTACAAAGAAACTTCATGGAAAGCAGCCACACATATACATATATATATATATACATATACATATACATATACACATATATATGTACAGACATGTATGTATGTATATGCCGCTGTTTTATTTATGGAGCCATTAACAAAATAATTTCCCTCTGGGATTATTTAAGTATTTCTGATTCTGATTCTTTATGCTGTATAGGGCTAATTTGAGTGTAAACATTAGCACAGTTTAATAGAAAACACATTAGAATGGATGGAAATAAAAGCTTAATTGGTCCACTTACCATAACGGCTGCGGTGCGAACAGGTCACAGCGTGCGTGTGCTTCAGAGAAATGCTCCAGCCGGTTTATATCTCCCATAAGGAACGGAGGAAGCAGTAACGAGTTCGATCCGCTCCCCATGAGGCCGGGCAACACTCCTGTTTACTAGAGGCTCCAGAACAGCACAAAAACAGCCTGACGTCACCACCACGTCAATAGTTTTTTTCCTCTGTTGTCCAAAAGCTGACCCACAAAGTCTCCCGAAAGCAGCGAATCTTAAAAAGTTGTGTTTGGAGATTTTGAGTCTGTTCAGGTTACGTCAAACGCACAAAATGTCTGGAGAGTGCTTTGTGTTGGAGTACGGAAATGGAAAGGACTTTCTGGTCCAGAAACTGGTCCAGATGCTGGTCCAGATGCTGGTCCAGATGCTGGATTTCAGGTTTAGGCTCACAAAAGGTAAAAAATCTTAAAAAGTTGTGTTTGGGGATTGTGAGTCTGTTCAGGTTACGTCAAACGCACAAAATGTCTGAAGAGTGCTTTGTGTTGGAGTACAGACATGGAAAGGACTTTCTGGTCCGGATTCTGGTCCGGATACTGGTCCAGATTCTGGTCCAGATGCTGGTCCAGATGCTGGTCCGGATTCTGGTCCGGATTCTGGTCCAGATTCTGGTCCAGATAACTGCTGGAGACCGGAACAGTTGGATTGGAAAGAGACGAGGACCCAAAAGCAGAGCGGCTGTAGGAAGCTCAACGGGATGTTTATTACAGTAAAAAAACTCATCTGAAACAGAAAGTGACAGAAAATGAAAAGGAGAATTATAAATAAGCATAATGGCAAAACAGATAAACAAAACACTGAACAGTTCCATTTAATTATCGATTCAGTTTTAGTCATAAGAAGGAAATGACAACAAATATAATCCTTGGAATTCGATCCAGGCCAGATCACTGAAGTCAGACAGAAAAGCGTTTCCCAGCCAACGAAGCCGGCAAGACCAGAACCAGGACTAAGACCAGGACCAAGACCAGGACCAATACCAGAACAAGGACAAGGAAAAGGACCGGGACCAGGACCTGGACCCGCAGGATTGATTAGGTCACCAATAGGAAGATGATGGATGTGATGTCAGGGTTAGGGTTAGGACATTGTTTGTCTCCTAATAAATAAATAAATAAACGTGACCTAATCAAAATGGCCGACCTGGATGTGGGAGGAGTTGGATATCCAGCCGAGGCTGCAGCCAGAGGCTGCTCGAAGGACCTGCTTTCAGAGTGAGAAAGAAACTCGACAACGACAACGAATGAGTGGTTTGTAGTACTTCTTTAGTCACGTGGTTGCATCTATTGACATATTAACTAAATAATGGAGCTGGTAATATACTGGTTTATGTATTCTAGTCCTCCACGCAGATGATGTGTACAGACACACAAAGAGATGACTCCGTCTGTTCCATCTGGCGTCTGGACTCCGGCAGACTGTCTGATCCTGAGAGAAAACACCAAGACACACAAACACGTCAGACCACAGTCGTTCTGTCACCGTTTCTCCAATCTGGGAAACGTGTCGGCGTCTCAGTCCAGGAGGAGTCAGACGGCTTCCCCTCACCAGCCTCCATCCCAGGAACCGGCTCCTTCCTCCTGCTGACCACCCGTCTCCGGGACACTCGAACTTCCTGTCCGTCTGCATGTGGAGGATCTCCAAACTCTGGCGTACGTGAACATCCTCCTGTAGGATCCTAATCATGTGAGGGTGTGTGAGGGAGTGTGTGAGGGTGTGTGTGAGGGTGTGTGTGAGGGTGTGTTAGGATCCCAACTGTATGAGGGTGTGAAGGTGTGTGTGAGGGTGTGAGAGGGTGTGTGTGAGGGTGTGTTAGGATCCCAACTGTATGAGGGTGTGAAGGTGTGTGTGAGGGTGTGAGAGGGTGTGTGAGGGTGTGTGAGGGGGT